TATATATATATATATATATACACGCACGCACACACGCACGCACACACGCACGTACACACACATCCACACACATATATATACCACTTTTCTAAATATAAAAAATATATAACATTACTCTTACGATTTTATGCTTTTATTGCAAAAGTTTTAACAAAATTAAAAATTTGCTTTTTCTATGACAATTAGCTAAAAAAGAAAAAAATCTATAAAATTTCTCTATATTATTCTATTTGAGAACTTTACACAAAAGAATTGATAATGTCTCATCACTCCATTTAAATATTGGCAGTAATTTCCTAACATTATGCATTCACTAGTTTTGTAGACAAATAACACATGTATGATTGTTATAATTCTGTATCACTCGTTTGCTACAATAACGACATAAAAATTGTAATTTTTTAATTGCTTATAAAAAAAAAGAAAGGAAACTTAAAAAAAATGTATTTTTATTCTTCCACAATCAGTTATTACATCAAAATTTTAAAATTAATATTACAAAATTTTAATGATTTAAAATATTGAAATTCATTTTCTGGAAAACTGTTTTTTCATCGTGTTATAGCAAATGAGCAATATAATAAATATTGTGTACAATAAATTTACATACATTGAGAATTACATATGCACTCTTTAATAAAAAAAAAGTATAAAACGTATTCTAAACAAAAATGATTCCAACATTTAGATCTGCGCGTAACTTTTTTTTTGTTAAAGAGTGTATAATAATAAATACAGTAATTATATGTGTAGAATAACGAATTAAAAATGTTACAGCCTATCATGAGTTTAAAATGTAGTAAGTATGTTCTCTTTTTATATAAATATGAACATAAACACACACATTATTCATTAATTAATTAATTTTATATTGATTTTCTAATTAGATTATAAATGGTTTGTTACATATTTTGTTTGGTACAATTCCTTATTTACATTCGCTAATGTCTAATGTAATAAAATAGAAGTTAAAGGATGGCAGAGTGTATTTGTTTCCATTAAAAACACATGACAAAATGTTGAATGAAATATGACATTCTCATCAATATAAACAAAATCTTATAAGGACATAGCTTCTAGGAACAGAGCAACAAATCTTCATAAAACATCAACAAACAAGATCATTTTTTTTAACAAAAAAAGCTTCTATAAATCATCGTGAATGCCTATGTATTTTGTATGCATTCTCAACTACATGTATTTTTTTTGCAACAGCCCATTAAAACATTGATATGTTAACACAAAGCTTGTTTTAAACGCGTGTATTAAAATGTCATATTTTCAAATAATTACAAAGTTAAGAAATCTTTCCAAACCTTTAAGTGTGTACAAAGCATACGTAAAATAATTTCCATTATTGCATTATTTAAATCTAATTCTTTACAAGTCTGTACACTTTACATATTACAGATATGTAATCTTTTATATAGTTGATAACGAATAATTTTGGCGCCAATACTTTTTCACTATAAATAGCTTTTACATACTGTCATATAGTACTGTAATAACTATAAATAAAATTATTTTATTTAGCATCTTGTGCTTTATCTAGTATGTACTTATCAAATATATGATATAAATAAAAGCGACTCGCGGGAAATGTAATGATAATATAATACTATTTATAGTGAAAAAGTTAGAAAATATATGGATGTATATTATTAAGTCGTAACTCAGTGTCACAAGTTTCTCGCTCTATATATTTATATAATATTATCCGATCAATTGTGAGTTGTTAACTGATCACTTAATTATGTTTAAAGTAGAGAATTCCTGAGCATGCTACGACATTGTTCAAAGTAAGGCACGCACTTGAGTTGGCATTTGCCACATATGCAAACGCTTGTCTTTACTTCCCGCTATAATCTGAAAGATAATGAAAATGAAAAATTTTATCAGTGTTTACTATTAGCATCAATGTCTTAATTTACATTTAACTGAAAACTCATATAAAAATAGAGAAAATAATTATTGATACTTAATAAAAAATGTTCAAAGATAATACCAAAATATAAGGAAAGTTATTCAAAAATTGTGTTAAAAAAATATAAACTTGCACATTGAATACGTACCTTATTATTTACAACTTCTATACTCAATAACATATTCCCTGGACCGCGTATGCTATGTATTAATTTGTGATTCTATAAAGAGATTTATATTGAATTGAATATATATAACACAAATATGTAATAAACTGATTATAAATTGATGATTTAAAATATATATAAAATATAAGAATGCAACACTTACATTTATGTCAAAAACATAAATATTGCCGTCGTAACAGCCCGCGAAGAGTAGTTGCCTATAAAGTCGCATACATACAATACCAACACCAGCCTCGTATTGAGTTACTTGTTTACCCATCTGCAATATTATATTTAAAAAAATTATGATACAATTCAATTTTGAAAGAATTCAGAAAAGCGCTATTGTCACTTGCCGTGAAATCGAAAACGTTTATAGATGTGCTGCTTGTACCACAATAGATCAAATTATTATGTCGCAATAAACTATAAACAGTAGAATTATTCTGGCCACTAATCATACGAAGAAGCAAACCGGTCAATGCATCGCGTATATTTATCGGTTGATTTCGAGATGCTATAATGAGTATTCTTCTTGGGCCTTCGTTTGTTGCTTTAAGCGCAAGTACAGATTTCTCTGAGAACGGAATACTGTCTTCTTTAATAGCACCAGCCTGCAAACAAGTTTATATTCGTATGTATAAATATATTTAACATATCAATATTAATTATATATTATGTACAATTTTTTTTCATATATAGATAAAATTCTTTTTTTCTTTCTTTCTTTTAAGTAATGTAAATTACTATATCTACATGTTTAGAAATATACAGAAGAGAATGTGGTTTAAAAAAAATAATTTACCTCGATATAGAAACGCGAAACATGTCCAGATTTTGTTCCAATAAAGATCATACCCCATGCTTGATCCATGCACTGAATCGGACTCTTTGTTTGCGCCGGATTTCCTACTAACGCGCCAGTCTGCAAAGAAGTAATATTTTATTAATTTTTTTTTCCAATAAAATTGTTTAATATTTAAACTACTAAAGCTTACCATTATTTTGTAACAACGCAATGTACCATCTAAGGAACCAGAATACATAAGATTTTTCTCAACTCCTGCGTCATACGACTTGTAGATATACAGACACGTAACAGCAGATTTGTGACCTTTATATATATTCAATATTCCATTAGACTTTTGACTATATCTATAGATTTTGCCGTCTTCGCTTGCTGCTAGGAAAGAATTTTCAAAAATCTAAAATAAAAAAAAAAAGATTATATTTAGCCTATCTTGTATAGAAAATAATCGTTTATTAAACTGTTACCTTTATGTCCAAAATAGGGCCTTTATGGACCGTGTATTGCATTCTCGCAGATTCATCCTCGTTGCTCTCTACTGTATGTGAAACAGATTCCTGAATAAGATCCTTCTCGCTACTTTCCGTGGTTGATTTCTCTTCTAAGATTTCAATCTCGGATTTTTCTTTATCACAGGATTTGGCTGGGTCAAAGAAACTTTTACTCGAAGCTGTAGTAGGAATTATTGCCGCATTGTAATCGCATATGGTGTGCTGCATACACGACGAATCACTCGGTGCGGAAGAATTGATAACAATTATTCCAAGTCTGTCCAGAACTTTGGGATTAATATACTTATAAAGAATGGATTTACAGTCGATCAATCTCACTTTGCAGTGTTTCATTTGCCAATCTGTGCGCTGTTTCCTCTTCTTCGCTACAGTCCTGTTCTTCAAAACTGCAGATTTTGTAATCGTATCGAGATGACTAGCCTGATTTTCAATTTTCATTTCAGATTCAGTACTAATTTTCCGGGTATTCGTATTTTGCACTTTCTGTGAAACACGATTCTTCCTGACATTATTTATGACTCTTTCATCACGCTTTGTCCACATTGGGGATTTGCTTCTGCTTCGCGCTGTTAAATCATTCTCGTGAAAAACACTCGTCTCTCGTGAAGAAGATCTGCTGCTGCTTGAATTAGTATCGGTTTCATTCATCTTACTAGACTTGTGTTCATTGGAGTTTCTGGTGCTTCTTCGGATCGGTGTTGAAGTGTCGTGTTTACGACGAAACTTCTTGCTCATAGCTTTGCTCTTTGCTTTATTGGACGAGAAGGTAGAAGTCGACGTGTGTTCCAAACCGGACATTTGTTCAACGAACACTTCATCTTCTGATCTTTCATTCATTAGATCAATTGAAACGGAACTGCCACTGCCTTGATCATTATTCAGGATTTTCTCAAATGTGTTAGATTTATTTTCGGGATTATTTTTCTCTTCTTCTTTGGCGGCTTTAGTGGTATCCTCGACGTTTTGACAATCTTGTTTCACAACAATCGTGTTATTCGAGAACCTCTCGGATTCAGCATCTAGTTTTTTCTGTTTCGTATCTGTTTTTTCCAAGACATTTGAGTCACGCTCTGTATCTATTATTGCTATCTTGTCGTTAGATTCAACGCTGTCATTAGATCGCTCGTTCTCAGTGACATTGGAGTTCGCAGTGACCAATTGCGGCACAGATAGTGTATTACTTGCGCTATCGATCACTTCTTCCTTTTCATTTGCGTTCACCATATGTTTATCTTTCGCTTCATCTTTTTCATCCTCCTTATCTTTCTCCACGGTCAAATTATCAGCTTGCGAGGTACTTTGTGAATTTTCATTCTCTTCCAATTTCTCGATGTGAGCCGAAGATGCGTTTGTTGTAGAATCCTTATCCTTCTCTTCCAATCTCTCAGTGTGAGCGAAAAATGCATTTGTTGTAGAATCCTTATCATTCTCTTCCAATCTGTCAGTGTGAGCCGAAAATGCGTTTGTTGTAGAATTCTTATCCTTCTCATCCAATCTCTCAGTTTGAGTTAAAAATGCGTTTGTTGTAGAATTCTTATCCTTCTCTTTCAATTTCTTAATTTGAGCCGAAAATGCGTTAGTTGTAGAATCGACCAAATCAGTGCCTACGACTTCCGTGCTGTCTTCCGTATCTTTATTTTTCTGCAACAATCCCAGGCTGAAATCATTTTTTATTAAAGTTTTGGGCACGGATACTTTAATATCAAAGTTACGCGAAACAACATCATTGGAATTCTTCACACGATCACGTTCGCAATCTGAGGAATGACTTTCCGCTTGAGTTTCTTCAGGAGTAATGCTACTGTCAGGCTCCACGTTACGTTCACTGTAGAAAAGAACTTTGTCCTGACTCACGGCTTTAAAAACATGATTCGATCCATCAGGTACGTCATTACTGTCTTGCTGCAATGCAACCTCTTCTGTATTTTCTTTCTCTCGACAAGGCCAATCCGAATTGGCGTTCGCTTCAGCGTCAACGAGAATTTGATGTTTATCGGACTGCAATACTGAAGAGACGTTGGACATTGATGGAGTAGAAGCTCGCGCTTCCGATTGAGGTTCAAAAAGATTTTCTTCTTTGTTCTCCGCTACAGTGTTTATCGTCTCGTTTATGTTCTTTAAGATGTCTGATTCAACGAGATTTTCTTTCCTCTGAGTGAGCGTGTCAAGCAAGTCTCGTTTTTGCTGTAGCTTCTTGATGTATAACTGGCCCAGAGGCAAATTCTCTTCCTCACCCGTTAGATTATTAACCGTCCTCAAGATGTTGTCCAGCTGCTCCTTCTTTTTTTTTTGTACGATCGATTTCATCCTCTGCGACATAGCTAACTCTTTCTTAAGCGTCTCGTTTAGCAAAGCGAGACCCGATGTTTTCTTATGTATCTCCGACGCGGTATTTTGCACCAGAGAATCCCACGTGCTATCGTCAGTATATATAGACAAGGATTCCGGAGTGCTGTGCACATGCTTGTTCGACGGCTGAGAATTTACCTTCGCCACTTCACTCCGTGGCGAAATATCATTTGACTTATCAGTATCAAAATGTTTTGCACGTTCGGTCTCGCCTTCGGTAGAGTCTCGACATTCTGAACGCTCATCCGCACTTTTATCCGTTGTGCTTTTATCTGAATCGATCGAGCGTTTCGAACTGATATTAGTCTCCTTGTCAGTCTTCTTTCTAGCGGTTTTGTCCTTTCGCACTTTATTATTTTTTACGGCGTTCGATTTTTGAAAATTTGCAGATGTATCAATAATACCATTTTCTATTTTTTTACTCACGGAAGTCGGAACCTGCTCCTTTGTCACTTTGTTAAGACCCTCTTCTTCTTCTTTTCCTTCGACTTTCTCCTGTCTGGCTGTCCGTTCTAGTCGTGGCTTCTTTTTCCATCTAATCACCGGCGTTTTCGACCTAGGCGTGTAACTCGTACTCTCGTTATCTTGCGAGGACAAAGTTCTCTTTCTGCCCTTAATCAGCTTCGACGACTTTGACAGAGACACGTGTTTGTCTTGCTTAGCATGATTTATTTCACTATTCTGTGACGTTGACGGTATCTTAGACTGATTGGGGATTGTATTGTTTTCTGCCGTTCTTAACACTACACTGTCATTTGTCATGGATTTTTCACTCGACGGAACATTACTTCGTAATAATTCGTGCAACTTTAATTTTTCCGTCACTAGCTTGTGAATCTCGAGATCAATTTCCAACATTCTAGCCAAAACAGCTTCCTTCGTGTTACCGACGATTTTTCCAGATCGTTTCATTTTCTTAAGTCTCTTCACCAAACTGTTTTTCCTCAGCTCTTCTTTAGATCGATACTTCATTTGCCGTTTATCTTTTAACCTATATAAAACTGAATCATTACGTTTTTTCTGATCTTCATAATGTTTCTCTCTCATTTTCGCGGAAGTTTCTTGGCTTCTCCTTTCTTCATGAATTTTCTCTTTTACCTTCTCAGAATTTTCCTGGCTCCTCTTTCCCAACAGTTTATCCAATTCTTTCATCTTTAACAATTCGACAACCGGTTTACGTTGTATATTACTGTGAAGACGTTTCTCGACGTTAGTCGGAGATACTGTGGACTTATCGTGGTTAGCATTAATACCAATATCTTTATGGACCGATTCAACTAATTCACCACCACGTGTGCCATTGTGCGCCGGTATTTTGTTTACGTTTAGGCTAACCTGCGCAGTCATATTGTTGTGAGTATTTTGCGCGGTAGTCGTATTGTTATCAATTTCTGGCGTGCTCGGTTTTATATTGTTTTGTTCCTCCACACGCCAAGTCGGCGTTTGATAATTTATATCCGTTTCTCCGCTCTGCTGTGCTTTGTCTAATATTTCAAGTGCTACTTCTTTAGTTGCCGTCGGTACATTACTTAAAGATTTCAAAAAGAGATTCGCGGCCTCCTTCAAGGCAGCTTTCGTCGGAACATTTAAAGTCCTCGGCGAATCGGTCGGCGAACATTCCAACGGTGATGGTCCCGCGAGCAAATTGTTTTCCGTTGATGATATGTGCTTCATATCGAATTTACATCCCTCCGATTTCGATACCTCGCTGCGCGATAAATCTGCGCACGACGTAATCATTGTCGTTTCCTGAATCACCGCGGGCATGATATCGAATCCTGAGCTTTGCTGTTGATCAACAGAAAAATGCACGCATTCGTCGTCCTTGGTGTCGAACGTAGCAGTGCTTTGCAAACGATCATCCATATAGAATATATCGTTATCTAAATGCTCGTCGGAATCGAAGCCCGGCAATTTGTCGCAGGGTGCTTTCTCTGCGGATATATTAGTTTCTAAGTAAATATGATTATCGAGATGTTCCGCGCAATCTCTTTGACAATCCGGCAATCTCAATGCGTCATCCGAGATCGTTGCCTCTAACGCATCAGATAAACTGGGATCGGTAGTAGTTTTCAATTTACTTATCAAATCCTTCGATCGAGCTTCGCTCTGAATAATTTCTTCCTCGTTATCTAATAACATAGATTCTTTAATCACTAATCCCGCGCAAGATGTGTATCCTTCCTTGTTTATGGTCAACTGTCTGTCCGTCTCGTTACCTCTACTGATGTTTATATCGTTGACGTCATCGTGTAACATGGTCGTAACTATCTCGCTTGAAGATTTTCTTACATGCCCTTCTCCAGTTTCATCTGTCGTCAAATCGGATTTATCGCTCTTCTCATTCGTCACGCATTCTTTATCTGAAGAAAGTAAATTGTCACCAAAAGCGATATTAAAATTCTCGTTGGCGTTAATATTCGTATCGTTAGCGTAATCAGTACCAGGTTCTAGCGTTTCGTAATCCTGTCGTCCTCCGATCTTAATATCCTTGCAATCTGCATTTGTCACATAATTCACGTCGAATAAGTTAGGCTGCTCGAAGTCCATCATAGTTTCCTGAAGAAAGCCTTTAAACGGACTACCTACGCTGTCAGAAGAAATAGCGTTGTTCTCCATGCTTTGCCGTTCCTGAGAGTTTTCGTTCGAAGTTGATGACGAATCAGCGGTCTTCTTACCCGTAGAGTGCGAATCCTTATTCGCACTCGCAGATTTATTTGTAGCGTCAAGGATATTTAATTTCATATCGTTTTCCTTAGTGCTGCTAGTTTCGATATTTACTAACAAACTTTTTTTACTTTGTTTATCGATACTATCTACTTGAGATACCGCATTCAATTCGGTAATACTGCTATCACGATTAATTGTGCTCTTCGTTAAATCTCGATCTGATTTTTTGATTTGACTTTCGTCCGTGTTATTCAATGAAAGTTTCATGTTTTTGATTGTATCAGATTGTTGAATCTCAGTCGAGATATCCTTGTTTATTTTTTCTATGCTATTTGAGATTTTACTTTCACTGACTTTCAAAGCAATTTTAGAAGCTGTCGATATATCGGGTTCAGGAGCGATGTTACGAATTTTTTTATGGCCTTTTTTATCCGCACTCTTAACACTTGCTGTATTCTTTGTACGCTTTATATTATGAGTTTCATCTCGCGTCGTCTTAGAAGAATGTTCGCGCGTATCAGTGCTTTCAATGTTACTTGTAACTTTTTCAGTGTTTCCTCGTTCCCGACCTTCCAAATTCAAAGAACATTCTTTCTTAATAGTATTATGCGGTAATTCGTTACTGCATCCGTTACCATCGTTATTAGCATTGCCAGAGGATATTGTTGACGTTTTCACATTGGTAGTTACCTTATTTTGAGAACTTATGGACTGTGTTCCTTTAATTTTTACTTTGTTTATGTCATTCATGTTATTGATCTTTTTTTCTTTCTCCTCTGTACTTGTTGTCTTTTCCAAAGGAAAAAATATTTTTGTTGAAATTAAATTATCAGATTTTGATGGTGTCGCAGACTTCTTTTTTGCTTTTTGTTCTTTTGCCATTTCTTTCTTCAGCTTCAACTCTTTACTACCTTCCGATCGAATATTTTTAAATCGTTTAGGATCAGATGCAACTTTACTTTGTGATGTCTTATCTGTTGCAGTGTTCTTAACTTCTGAGCATTTCTTTGTTTTAGACGCTTCAGTTTTAGATGTCGTTACAACGGGCAATACAGTGACACTGCTAGTAGCAAGCGATACTTTATCTTTTGATTTAATCTGATTACTTTTTTGAACGACGCTATCATTATTGACGGTATGATTTGAATTTTCTTCAGAACGTTTCGGTGCTAATCGTGGATCTAGAATGGAGCTGCTGGATGTACATGTTAATGTAAATTTATTTACTGGAATTTCTGGCTCTGTGCTTTTCGGTGTAATTAAATTTTGTGTTGATGTCGTAGGATTTTCTGCAGGCTTCTTCGATTCCAATTTCTCATTCATACGACGTTGTACGGTGCGCTCGTAGTACGTCTTTATGTTGATCTTTTTGCTGCCACCTTGCTTTGGACTCGCAGTACTCGCAGGCGGGATACTTGATACCAAGGATGGTGATGTAGCAGCCGTTGATGCCTTTGACGTATCGTTATCAGTAGCTGAGATTTTATCTTCTGATTTAATGTCTTGTATTTTGATAGACGATTCAGTAGGAGTATGTGCTGTTGCGTCCGATGGTTGCAATATCGCATTTTCATTAACTTCGCTGCTACATGCCGATACATGTGCGATACTGCTTTGCTCTATTACATTGTCATTTGTCGATAAAATAGTCTTATCTTGACTGCAGCCAGCGTCAGGTGTTTCACAGGTTTTATTTAAATCTTCCGTACATTCCGAGAAACTCGCCGGATTAGGTGCATTCCAATTTGCCGGTAAGCAAGTAAATACATTCAAGGGAACTTTGTTATCATTCATATCGGATGTTTCTGGCATCTGCTTTAGTTGCGCTTTAGTTTTTAGTTGCGTAGGGGAACCTATCGGCAATCTCTCTTCAACATGTAGTTGCGTGGTATTAATAGATGTCAACGGAATTTCCTGTGCTAAAGGAGATTCTACTCTATTCTGCGATGTAGAGAAGAAATGTGCTGTCTTATTTTCCATAGTCATGAGATGATTCGAAGCATTTACAAATTCAGCGTCTCTGGTATTCTCTTCTTGACTAATGTCTAGCTCCTCTTTAACAATAACTTCTTGTATAATCTGATTTTCTATGACTTCCTTCTTAATTTCCTTTTCCGTCAGCAATTTATCAGTCGTTTCATCGTTATCATCATCGTCTTTTTCTGAGGAGGAATCAGAGGAGCTCGTCATTTCCTTGTTTTGTCTCTTTTTTTTCTTGTAACGTACTTTTCTCTGCTTTCGGCTCTTGGAGCTTCTATAAGTCTTCCGCGATTTTCTCGATTTCCGCTCTCGTTCAATCTCGGCATTTACCTCGTCTCTTATCGCTTCGTTCAATGACATTTGTTTGGCTACCTTCTCATTTTCTTTTATCACTCTCAATAACTTTGTAACATTTGTGTTATCACTACTATTACTGCTGCTACTGCTACTAGTGCTGCTGTCACTACTACTGTCACTGTCCTGATTGATATCATATTCTAAATATTCTGTGGTATGTTTTCTATCGTCACTATGCCGTCTAGATTTTTTGTACTTTTCCTTTTCCAAACTTCTGTGCCTTGTATTTAATTGTTGCTTTGAAGATTCAGACGAATAACGACGTCGTGGATAAACTTTTCTACCACGTCCTCTACTTAATAAACCGCGTCCTCTCTTGGTAACAACAATCCTTTTTGGACTATCTATACTATTGGAAGGAATACGGACTGTCAAATCTGTTTGCATTCCATATCTTGCTTCCCATTCTTCTTTGGTAAGATTTCTATATGCATGTGGATCTTCTCGTTCCTTTTTTTTCCATCTATCGCACTTCTCGTCCCAGTGCGGGCTATTCTCCAATCTGTGTGTTCTGTCATCTTCCATGAATGCTTCTTTCTCCATGCTCCTCGAAATCGCGCCAACATTGAATTTCTTTGCACTTTGTTGCCCCATACTGCAACGCTTACGTTCTTTTACTGCTGCAGGTGTTTGAATTTTCTTCGTTACTTCTGAAAATATATCATCCAAATCATGTTGTAGAGTCAACAAGCTATTATTAACATTAGAAACGTTAGTTACAATAGGATTACAAGTGTCATCTTTTAAATCAAGATCATTATTTACAGTACTATGTGCCGGTACATTTTTGTTAGATCCCGTTTTTACCGCATGACCTTTGCTTTTTACACATTCCTGACTAACATCATTCAATATTGTTGTTTTATTCGTGCATTCTGGGGTTTGGGTTACGGGATTCAACGTACGATTTGTATCTTCCAAATGACCATATTGACTGCTCGAAGCTGCTGCGGGCTCGGCATGAATGTCTGGTTGCACGTCCAATTGTAGTACTTCATTCAAATGATGTATAAACTCTGTAGGTAGATCCGTAATGGACACGATAGCATCGGTGTCTAACATCGCATTTAACTGTTTCATAAATTCCTGCTGATCATATAGTTTCATCTTTTCGTCCTGCGCACGTCTCATCTCCAAGGATAATGTAGGCTTTTTTTCTTTGACTAGACGCTTCATTATAATATCGAACTTTCGAAGACTAGTGTTATTCACCATGTTGTAGATATCGTTTTTACTCATCTTTAAGAATCGACTAATAATCCTGTTTTTCCACGAAGCATCCATTTTAGAATTCTCATTCTTTTCCACATGGCTCCTCGAATTTGGCACGTTGACTTTCGGAAGTGAAACGTTAGAATGTTGAGATTTTTCTGTATGGACATCTTTTTGTAGTTTTTTATGATGCAACATAATATTTTGGTTTTCAATCTCGGATGATATTGCATTCTCAGAATTATTTTCTTTTTTCTTCAAATTCTTTTCTTCTTTTTTATGCTTTAATAACGTATTTTCTAAATTCTTTTTAGTTATCGAAGGTGTTTTTGCTATAGGTGATTTTTCTGGTTCTATAGAAGATGTTTTTGCTGCAGGTATTTTTTCTGGTTCTATGGAAGGTGTTTTTGCTGCGGGTGGTTTTTCTGGTTCTAGTGAAGGTATTTTTGTTGCAGGTGTTTTTTCTGGTTCTATGGAATGTGTCATTCCATTTTTTTTCTCGTTATTTTCTTTCCACGACGACTTGGTATTTACTACTTTCGCTTTATTATTCAAATTAAATACTACTTTAGGACGCTCTAATTCATTCATTAATGCGGCAGCATCCTTAGATTTCGCATTTGCATCTTGTATCGTTTCTTCCAATGGTGGATAATCTGCTGTACTTTGTTCCTCAGGTATTTTTTTCTTGCTACTCGTGTCACTTTCTTTTATCTTTTTTTGCTTATTGATTTTGGTTTTTGGCTTTCCTGGAGGCAGTGCTATAAACTCTACATCGCTAGCAGGATCAATTGAAGTACTGCTTTTGGAAAGAAATTTGTAACTTTTGGAACTTGATTTAGATTCTTCGTCTGTCTTTCCTGTTATACTTGTCATTTCTTTTGCAAATCTCATAGCTTCCTGCATGTCGTTCAAACCATCATCTTTGTTTATGCTGCAATGCAAATCAGAGGACGAAGAGAGCTCTGGTAAAGAAGATGAAGACACACAAGTATTAAGAGGCGCTGCATGTACTTGAGGCAATGACGGAACGTGTGTATTGACAACAGGATTGCTGGGCAGCATAGGAAACATTGGAGAAAAATTTACTGAATCGATATGAGATGGCATAAAAACATTACTTTGATTGACTATTTCTAATGGTAATTGTTGAGGCATAAATCCTCCATGTGTATTTAAGCCCGTGTGAACTTCCATATTATTATAGACGGCAGGTATTGGATTTTGAGCATTACTCCATGGAGGATTTGCGTCTTCATGAGGCATTTTTGTCCCGAGCAAACATTTCATATTTGGTGGTGGTTCAGTGGGATCGAATAATGGTAAATCAGGAATTGAATATGGAGGTAAAATACACGATTGATCTTGTTTTAGTAATATTGGCGGTGGAGTAGTAGGATCAAAATCAATGGGCAACTCCTGCTCCATATGTGGAGACAGTTTTGGTGGACCACTCTGAAAAGAATTTTCCTTCATTCTTGGCAATTGATTATCTAATGTGACATTACTTACTGGTGTATCAATTAATGGTGTTTGTGTCAATGTACAATTACTGCTATTTGAATTTTCTGCATGAACATGAGAATTTAAAGCACTTTCTTGAACTTGTAAATTTTCAAAAAGTTCCTCTTTCTCTTGCGATACATCCTGCAAAATGTCCTGATCCGTTGAATCAATTGGAAATGATACATCAGCTTGTAAATTTAGTGTTTCAGACTCATCTGGTTCTTTCGCAACATCTGTGGGACATATTTCGATTCCTTGTGAAATATCCTGTTGTTGATCATCTTGCTCTTGTGAAATATTAATCAGTGGTGTATCATACTGATACTGAAAGTCTGATTCTAATAATTCATTTTCAATAATGTTATCTGTACATAGATCTGGTTGTTCCAAATTCTGAGAATTATCAACTGGCTCTTCCCAGTCTACTCCTTGTCCATTCTCAATCCATTCCTTGTCCACTTCCATGTATTGGTTATCATCTGGTATATTTTCCAGATTTGTCATTTGATCGTTAGGTATTATTAAATGAGTTTCATCTTTGTTCTCGTCTAATATTACATCGCTATCTGTATTATTAATAATATCTGTATTAGTAATATCGAATTCATTCGCAATATATTGTGTATTATCAGGATTTATTTTTCCAATGTCCTTTAGATCATTGTACGTCAAAGTGATCTCAGATGATTTGTATCCTACTACAGGAATACGTCTCTGGGAATTATCCTCTGTATTGTCCTGAATAATGTTAGATGGTATATCTTCATTCCAAATATCTGGGATGTCATCGGTGTTAAAAGAAGAGAGTTTCTGCTTCAATCGATCCGCTGTTTCAATTATTTTCTGTTGCCGCTCCTCTTCTGAGCCAAGCAAAGGAAGTTGTGGCACAGTTTCAATTGTATTAATCTCCTGCATAATCGGCTCTTCCGGCAACACGGGAGTCTCCTCGAAATTCGGAGGTACGGGCAATCTATTAGGGGCGGGGAATCGAACGTCATAATTACAGAATCTCCTTCGCCTACCGTCTGCTCTAAAGGGCGGGCTGCCACGTAACAGCGTATGGGGCTGAAAAAACATATTGCTCGGCTGCCAGGGCGCACCGAATTGCGCGGGATGTCCTGGCCTCGGTAGAGGTACTGCATGTCGAAAGGGCGGACGTGGAAATCGGGGCCTACCGAAGCGATGCGCGGCACGTGTACCCTGCGGGTAGCCCCTTCCTCGGCCGAAATTGCTGTAACTCATTCCACTCTTTAGCCTAACACCTCAATACAATTGCAACAAGAGTTCGCGTAAATACAACAACCTAGCACCGCACAATCTTTGGTAGTTTAACATGCCGTAGCAACGAGCATCTCTTCATCAAGATGCACGTTTTATTGCACTAAGCATTGACGATTCTTGCCTCTCAGGTTCCACAATTCGTCTCTTCTGCAGGCTTGCGCACTCGGAATGTCAAAGATCATCGTGTCTCTACATATCCTCACGCGTATTTACCCTAGACGACGATGTCGCTCTCGGACATTCCACCTAACCTCTCACGCTGCAAGGACCCACCGACTCCGACCGCTCCCCGATGAGGTTGTCGACTGCAAAGAAACACGTGCGATTAGACACCCTGAAGAGTAAACATCGGGGAATGATGACAGTGTTGCGTTTCGCGCATCACGATATGACGCGACGGGCAAACCTACGGAACTCACGCGTTCGCGTCAAACAATCAGATGTTTCGCGCTCCTTGAGTTGCGTGAGTTGCGTCTCCAATCCTTTCTCTCTCTCTCTCTCTCTCTCTCTCTCTCTCTCCCTCTTTCTCTCCCGTTCCCTCTCCTTCGTGAGCTCCCTGCGACGGTGTTATTTCCGTCGCGTGGCGACGTCGCGGAGGATCCCTTCCTCTTCGACGGATACCTTCCTCGACGCCGTGGACTATGAACGGTCGATGATCTGACTCTCCTTGCCGTCGTTTAGACGAAACACGTAGGAACGCGTCACCCGATTCACGGTACCACCGACGTACGTAACGATGAGACACCCGTCGTCGTACTGCGCGTACACAATGTACACATGCGCGCCGATATCGCGGTCAACTTGCTGATAGGTTCGCCACGCGATTTCATTACGCATGCATGCGCGGGGGCAGTAAGAGGAGAGGCGATGAGGGAGGGGAGATAGAAGAAAAAATTAAACGGTCACCTTTAATTTAATGTCGATCGGTTCTTCCGCGCACACGCCTCGTGCAATCATGCAAATCGGTCGAGACAACACGACGCCCGGCGTCGTTTTGACGTTATCCAATCGGCGTACCGAGGCTTAATTCATGCTTGTGTCCCTTATGTCCATGCCTGCCGCTCAGCTGCTGTACTGAGCACGAGGGGCACCGGAGTAGTGCATTTGCGTGGAGCGTTATTATTACGTTCTATGCACGGGCGCCGTCGAAGCTGTCTTATCTATGGAAAAAAAAAAAAAAAGAAGATAGGTATTTTGTTATATTATTTATATGTGTTTCCCTCCCTTCCTCCTCGCGTTGTTGGTTAAACCCCTTATAAATGTGCGCATATATACATTCAATTTTCTCCATTCCAAGAGTCAGCTGTTTTTCTTTTAAATTAACATTCACCCATTCCCTCTTCGCCCCTCCGCTCAGCCGATTGCACTATGATTGCACCACACGCACCGGTCTTTTGCCACTCGCGGGCATCGTGGCTGGCTCCTCGCATTTGTCTCACAACACGTGACCGCGAGTGGAACGAACGAGAGAGCGAACGGGACAGGTGAAGTCTTTTAAAGGACTCTGCATTAAATTAGATGGAAAATTGGGTCCCGGTGACACGAGTTGCTTTTCACACTCTGTAAAACTTTTAGAATGAATTGTCACTCGGAAGAGAGAAATCTCATTCTTAAAGATTAAGAATTAAGCTGCTTTTTCTTCCAGCAGACTGCCTCGATTTTCATTCTTTAAAGTGAGATTCTGCTCCAAAGAATTTAGAGATCATATAATGTAGCTTATAATGCGGACAAAAAGATGTAGATATTTGGCTCAATAATGGATAGTTTTTAATTAGTTTACATCTTCGATGTACTGTCCATTATTGAGCATTGTATCATGACATGTTCACCACATGAGCTACATTATATGTGAAAATCAATTCATCTTACCTTCATTCAATTTTCCACATAACTATATTGGGTTACGAATTGATAAAACGAATTGATTTTTACGTATATATAATATAGCTTATAACGTAAACAAAAAGTGTCATAAACACTGGTTCAATAATGAGTTTTCCATACAGGGTGATTTATTTTAATCTTAACAGGAAAATATTTAAAAAATATACAATTTTACCAAAACAGATTCCAAAAAAACATTGTATGGCATAAAGGATAATATAACGATAACGTTCAGTTTTATACAATATCATACAACTTTAATTTAGAATGCTTTTTTGGTAAAATTGCATATTTTCGAAATATTTGTCTAATTGTAAGATTAAAATGAGTCCTCTCTGTATAATTAGTGCGAGGTTCTTTGAAATGGAGTAAAGCACAATGGAAAGAAAGGGAAGAAGATTGAGAGAAAACTAAGTAAAGGTAATACGCGCGGGATCTCTCGGTGATTTTAAAATAAAAGTAATCTCTCTTGCGCGACTGTAACTTTCGCTACGAAGAGCCTGTTACAAGAAAATCACGTAATACGAGTGATGATTAATCGGGATTTGCGGATGACTGATCGCCGTCCGATAAACGAAATGTCGCAATAATTTAATTGATCTTAATTCAATGATTTCATTATTCCAGTGATTGACAAAATTATGCTTATATATTATATTTATTCATACTTAGGCGTTTGCAGTGTATTGATCGAACTTGACGATACAACATAAATACAATTTTATCAGTTCGGGTAAATCGCTTAAATTTTTTAAGGTCATTTTGATATTCCTGCAGATAAACAACGTTAACAACAATAACATAAACGTTGACGGAAGAATGAATAATTTCTCGCTGCAATTCATCACAATTTTATTGTGCAGTAAAATGTACATTTCGTTATGAAGATGTGTACAATTAATATAATAGCAGAGATATCTTTGGACAACAAATTTCTGTGTGTGGCAGAAGAATAACATCTCTTGAACACGTTTGAACGCTGTACAGATATCGGAACAATGACTGCTGATTGCTGTACCGCATAAAATTGTTGAAGTTTGAAAAGTCGATAAGAGTAATGGAATTTGTGCTGAGAAAATTATATATTGTTTCGTATTAAAAATTACTTCCTTTTATATAACTGAATGTATAAAATTTAAATTTCACTTCTTTCATATTGAAATTATACCACAAATGTTGAATAAGATACAAATTTTTTTTTACTAACTGAGCTGGAGTTATTACACAATACGTTAATTATATAGAAAGATAATCGGATAAATATATATTTAGCTTTGCAGCTTTCTGTAGAAAACAATAAAAATATATTAGTATATATATATAT